ATTCTTCTGCCCTAGTATGGGAAGATTAATTTCTAAGCTTGCTGTACAATTGTAATTATAGTCATCATCCTGGAAATTTCTCTTACCACTCTTCTGTTTTGGATGCCCTGTTTTCTACATTGCAAGTCTTCTCTTTCTTGGTTTATTCCTTGTTGTAATAGAGAGTGTTTCTGAAAAGGGAGATTTGGCAGATAATTTTTGAGAATCTTGCTGGCTTGAAACTCTCTTTATTCCATTCTCATATAAGATTGTTTGATAATTTGGATAATGAATTATGGTTGAAAATCTTTTTCCCTGATAATTTTGAGGGCATTGTTCTGTTTTTTTCTAGCATCTGTTGTTGCTTTCTGAGGCTGTTCTGATTCCTAGTCCTTTGATGTGACTTTTCATTGTTATTATTGTGGTTATATTACCTCTTGAAATTTGGGGGATCCTTTCTTTACCTCTGATTTTCTAAAATTTTAAGATTATGGGCTTAATATAACTACTTTTTGCTTTCATTGGGATCTCATGTCCTTCAGTTCAGGGAAATTTTCTCGTGTTATTTCTACTCTTTTTAAAAAATTATGTTCTTCTGGAATTCATTTGTTAGATTTGGGGCCTTCTAGATTGATCCTTTAATGTTTATGTACTTTTCAAAATGTTTGATTTTTTTAAATGTGTCAAATAAGAGTAGGTGAAAATGTTTATGTATATATGAGATAGATATATATGTATGTGTATGTAATATGTGAGGAATAAAGAATAGTGAGATCATGAACATATATATACTTACCTCTCAGCTTTTAAAAAAAATAACCTTTGAAGTTCCTTGTGTCCCTTTCCCTTATCCCATCCAGTTTCCACCCTCTCTGAGGTAACTACCATCTTAAGTTAGGTATTTATAACTCTCTGACTTTTATTTACTCTTCGATCACACATTTGTATCCCTAAACAATATTCCTTAGTTTTCCTAAGCAAAACTAATGGGAGCATATTATGAATATTCTGTAACTTGCTTCTTTTGCTCTGTATTATTTCTTGAACCTGTTAATTGTTTATTATCACTGTATATATGTATCATATGAATATACAACAATTTATTGTGGCTTCCAGTTTTTGCCATTGCAGTGTTTCTGTCAACATTCTTATGCATGTCTCTCAGTGATCGTGAGCAAGAGTTTCTCCAGGGCAGTGTTTCCTAACTTTTTCCACATATGACACTTAAAGAAAACGATCCTTGTTTATCTTACTGAGGTAAAAGGACAAGGCTGCTTAGAACTGGCCTGGAAGTTCTTTATGATATCTTGCCCAGCCACTGAAAATCTGAGTGGATTAATACATTGGCATGCCCATAGTATTTGTGCCACATGAGCACTGGAGCATGCCCCATTTAGGAAGCTCTGCTCTGGAGCAGTACTGCTCAGTGTGGTCTGGAGACCAGCTCCAGTCCATAAATTATTAGTTACTAATCCAGGACCTTGTAAAGTTGAGAGGAATCATTTAGAAACATTTATAGTAATTTGATGTTCCCTAAACATTTTATTATTTTATTAAAGTATCCAGTCTACAGCGATTAGAAATTTTAAAAACAGGTTCATCACCATAAATAAATTTGAGAAGCCCTCCTCTTTGTGGGAATGGAGTTGGTGGGAAATAGGGTGATGGCATAAATACTAGATAAGCCAATTTGTTTTCCAAACTATTGTTCTAAGTTATGTATTCCCCACTCTCAGTGGTGTTAAGTGTTCCACTTCCACCACCACTTTACCAACACTTAGTATTAAAGGAATTTTTATGTTTGCTAATTGGGTGGGTATTAAAATGGTATCTTACTCTAGTTTTAACTTGCATTACTAATTTGACTACTAGTAGAGGTTGAACATCTTTTAATATGTTTATTGACCATTTTGGGTTTTCTTTTTTATGAATTATTCGTTAAGTATTTTATCCATTTTTCTATCAAATTATTTGCCTTTCTCTTATTTCTTTATTGGTTTAATGTGTTGTAAATGTGTTTCTCCCAACTTGTGATTTATATTCTTAATACATATTTTGATGAACAGAAGTTCTTAATTTTAGCAAAGTTAAGTTTCCCAATCATGTATTTTTGGTTTGTGCTTTTTTTGTGGGTCTTGTTTAACAAATCCTTTCCTATCTCAAAATCGTAGTGATATAGACCTATATTCTAAAAGATTTTTTAGTTCTTTTCATTTATGTCAATAATCCAGTTGGAATTGATTTTTGTATGTTAGGAAATAAGGGCTCCGTTAATAAGAAGAAGAAAGAATTCTTTTCTTTTCCCTCAAGTTTGCCATGCCAGCAGTCCACATAAACAAAATCCTTTTGAGGTCTACAATAATTTTAAAAGTATATAAAAGATTCCTGAGACCAAAAAGTTCGAGAGTCACTCTTACAGAACCACAAGAAAAAGTTAAAGGCTCCAATAAAAAAATGGGCAAAACACAGCAAGTCATTAAAAAAAAAAACACAGCTATACAATGAACATGTCAAAAAGTAAAGTTCCCTAATAAAGAAATGCAAATAAAAGGTCAGATACTATTTTGCTTTACAAATTGGCAATTATAAAAAGTACTATAAACAGCCTTTGAAGGTCAATTTGGCAGAATGTATAAAAACTCTGTTACCTTCTGACCATTTCTAGAACTATGTCCTATACAAACTATTAAGAATATGTCTGAAGATTTAGCTTCAGTATATTCATCATGGTTTTTTTTATATATGTAATTTGAAAATTCAGAAACAACCTAAAATCCAAATGATTGGATAAATTTCCAATGGAAGAAAAACATTGATAACGTGTTTTCTTTCCTCTAATTCATTTGGGGTAGAGCCCTTGGAGTGCCTTAAAAGCCACCTATTGCTTAATTTTGTATGGAATTGTCATTGAGCTGACCCTGACTACCCTTCCCCTAGGTGTTTTGTCCAATGCAAGTCAAATAATAACCAATCAGCATAGAGCACATTGAGTAATTGGTGGGTTTGTTCTTTCACCAAAAACATTTATAGCTTTGAGCTTTTAAAAATAGTTCTGGAGCACAGCAAGATATGGAAGGGGAAAATTGGCCTAGATAATACAGAAGATAACAGATGAACAGGGTTGGTTTCATTTTGGGCACTTTGCCCAGGACACTTTTAATGGAACATATACTTACTCTAGGGATTCTGAGTCTATGGTTATGTCAGGCTTACACACTTATTCTTTAAAAGAAAAAATTGCAAGTTATTAGACTCTAGGTATACTCGTTTGACTTAAAATTTTAAACTGTTTCTGTAATCCAGCCATTGATAATTTGCTGTGTGTGGGCTGGATTCCTTAATATTAAAACTAAGTTAATCATGGGTAGAAAAATATTTTGAACTTCCTTCCTCTAAAACACAATATGCTCTTCATTTCTTTCAAAATTTGAGTCATTTTAAAAGATGTCTAAACTAGGAATTAGAAGGTTATTTTTATGTGAAGAAGTTTTAATCTTACTTTTTTAAGGACTGTGTATATTAAGGAATGAACAAAGTACTTCAGAAGGAAAACACCTCTGTTGAACCACTGTGTAGTCTATTTGAAACCAATATAAGATTTTTTCTTTGTCATGTAGTTAATAAAAGAGTAGAGCAAAAAAAAGCCACTTAGTAAAAAATCTGAAAATTATTACTAACAGTACATAAGAGGAAATTTCTTTTTCAATATTATGTTCTGTTTCAGAAATGCCAGAAATTTCTTCTGGTATTTGCTTTTCATTTCAAGCAATACTTTAAATGAGACAGTGCCTCAGGATCTTTACACCTACTATCTCTTTCTGGAATGGTCTCTGCCTCTTCCTCCTTCCTTTAACTCACTCCTACATCTTCAGTCTTGGCTTAAATATAATATTTTTGAGAAGCTTGCCATAATCCACCTCCCCTAAATCCCAATTCCCACCTTTCCTACTTTCATCCCAATCCAGGTTAATTTAAACTCACAGCCCCTTTCCTTCTTCATAATGTTCACAATGGTTGTAAACATAAATTCAGTGTTTGTTTTCCCCACTATTCCTTAAGCTTGATGAAGGCAGGATCTGTGGGTATCTTGTTTAGAGTTATATTCTCAGTGTCTGGCACAGTACGTAATAGTTAGTAATAGTTACATATAGTACATAATGGTTAATAAATAGTACTAATCAATGAATTCTTTTAAGTACTATATTTCATTTGCTTTTTCAAACTCTAGTTGGTATTAATAATGGGTCTTTTCATTAGAGAGGTTATAATATTAATTAGTAGGTAAATAGCTGAATTAGGCAACTGTGACTTTCCACTAAGTTGGAATATTCTTAACTTTTTTATATTTGGGATAAGTTTCATTCCAATGTCTCAAATGCTTCTTGGGGTATATGGTCACAGTACATTTCTTAACTGATAAATAGTAGTTACAGTTGTTGCCTTTTCTGGTTGACTATATTAATCCCAGTAGATCCAACGCTACCAAACTAGTACAATACATAGTTTGTAGGTATTATGTATATTTTGTATGTATATTACAGTAAGACCACAGCAGAATTGGCCTCCTACCTTTTTTTTATGGTATCATTAATATACAATCACATGAGCAAAATTGTGGTTACTGGATTCCCCCATTATCAAGTCCCCACCACATACCCCATTACAATTACTGACCATCAGCATAGTAAGATACTATAGAGCCACTACTTGTCCTACTTTTTTTTAACCTTCTTAGTTTTATAGGGTTGAGTTTCTGCTTTCCTAATCCTTATCTGTAAGCCCAAATGAACAGCTTTTACAGAAAGATTTATAATACTTAGATGGGTCCCCAAAATAAAAACATACACAAAGTATTTTAATTGAGCAATTAGTCTTTCCAAGTTTTCTAATAAAACAAAGTTTTTATTATATCCTTTTGACAGACATATTGGACAGTAGGGACTAAAATTTTTCTAATACACTGACATTATATATTTAGCAAATTTTCTACTAACTGTATTCCATATTGTGTTCTTTCACAGTTCAAACAATATGTCAGTAAACTTCGAAGCAAGAGTACAGTTTTCAAAAAGAAGCATCAGATAATAGCTGAATTTAAAGCTGAATTTGGTGTCTTGCAGAGGACAGAAGAACTTCTTAAGCAACGTCATGAGAATATTCAACATCAACTGGTAGTACAATATTATCTTGGAGTGCTAGAAATACAAATGCCAGGAGATTTATGGGTTATAACTTTATACTGAGGTCATTGTTTTTACTGGAAAAACTATAAAATTAATAATTTTCTCTGATAAATTAGAGAGATGTTGTATAAGCTGATTAGTTTATTTTTAATATAGCAGTAAGCACTAAATTATATGTGCTAATTTGGGGGTAATTAATAGAATATGAATTCCATGTAGGTTTTGTTTTGGTTAGCTGGTTAATATGAGCAAAATTATCACCAAGAGAATGACTAAAATACTTATTTATCATTGCTTGTTGGGCATAAATTTCTAAGCAGCTACTTTCGTGGAGTTTGGAAAGAAATATCCAGGGAAGGTGTTATATGGAAGTTTGCCTGCAGGCTTGTTCCTTACATATGTGTGTCTTGGTTATCAGAAAAGAGTTAAACCCAGAGCAGTCCCTCTAATAGGAAGGCTATTCTCATTGTGGGTGCCAGTTCCTCTTAGTTTTCTTGGTTTGGCTTTTTTTTTTTTCACCCATGGGAAATTATTTACCAGCTAGCAATAATCTCATGGAGATAAATGAGGTTTCAACCAGTTGTGGTTAGCTGACACTATGAACTTTTCTAACTCATGTTGTTGAATATTGTTTTCTTCTAAAGAACTTAAGATTCAAAATTTACTCTGCATCAAACACAGATTCCAATGGTGCTACTTTAAAAATTCATATGTAGTACCTGCATTATTGTTCACTTCAAAATATTTTCCAATTTCCATTGTGATTTCTTTTACCCATGGATTATTATGTAAAACCAAACATTTGGGGATTTTCTACTTACCTTTCTGTTACTGTTTTTTAGCTTATTTCTGCTGTGACCAGAGATCATACTCTGATTTCAGTCCTTTGAAACTTGTTGAGTGTTGCATTATGGCCCAGCAAATGGTCTATTTTGACAATTGTTCCATTCACATTTGAGAAGAATGTATATTCTGCAGTTGGGGATGGTGTTCTATATATTTCAATTCAGTCAAGTATGTTAACCATGATATTCAAATCTTCTATATTCCTATTGATATTTTTGTTGGCTTGTTGCATCAGTTATTGAGAGAAGTGTATTAAAATCTCTGACTCTGATTATTAATTTGTCTGTTTCTCCATTTAGTTCCGTCAGTTTTTTCTTCATATTTTTCTCAAGTTAGAGTGCCTAGAAGCAGAGCATGAGAAGGGAATACTTTGTACAAGTGATTTATTAAGAGAGGAAGTGCCTTCAGAAGAAGAGTGAGGGAAGTAGAGAGGGCAGCAGAAAAAGGCTAAGCAAGGACATAGACACAGCTTCATTTTGATCTCATGAGGAACTTGGGAGCACAAGTTGCACCATGTTGTTGATTCAGCCTTGAGGCAAAGAGTCTGGCTTTTTATACTCCCATATCAGTCAGCCATTGGCTGTGGTGGAATGTAACCTCCTATCAGGCAGCTCCCATTGGGCTAAGGGCATTCTCTAAAGAAGGGGGCAACTATGAGCCAATAGCAGTTAATACTTATAGTAGAAGCTTGCAGATAAGGTCTGAGTGGGACACATAGAACATCCACTAGTTTTTCTTATATAAATTCACTCCATTCCAGGTATAGCTTCTACATGGTTCTGGTTGGTTACTGTTTCTCGGAAAACTTATAGGAGGAGGGTTAGTGGGACAAATTAAAATTCTCATTACTACATTTGGTCCCAAGGACAGAAGTGATATTCAGCTTCTCCTTTCTTTACTATCCATTTGAGATTTCCCTCACTGGTGGCTAGTACCTCCACTGGTCTAGATGACTTACTCAGTGGGATGACCCAGTTCCTCCTCTTTGAGAGGTGTGAGACTCTAGTAACCATGCCCTCAGAAGGCTATGGTTATTGCTGTACTGACCCATTTACTGTTAAAACTGGGCATGGGAGTACCAAGATAATGCCCTAATAGATCACCTGAGTGCCAGACATACACCTGTTTGCCCCCATTATATAGCAGCACCTGTACAGCCTTATGATGTCCTGCCAATATAATAACTCTTTTCTTTGCTTCCTCATCTATGAGCATGAGGAGCCCAAGTGATGGTAGTCAGAGCATTAAGTTCAGACGCCTCTTAAAGTGCCTCCTGATGGGAGCATACCCACCCTGGAACCCAGAATATCTGTACCTACAGAGCCTAAAGTTGTCAAGAAGGGAAGCATAATTCCCTAAGTGTATAAATAGGAATTCTGATGAATGATGTATTCTGTCTGTCTGGAACACAGCACTATATAGTGGGCATTGGTTTAAGATGTACACTCTATCCTGAAGAATAGAACTCATCCTCATAGGCTATCAATTCCAAGCTGGCACCTTAGCTGTACCTTCTTGAGGCCCTTCTACTATTCTGTCAGGCCATTAGCTTTCTGGGTGGTGTGGTGTGTGATACCATGACTGAATCCCACATTGATGTGCCACCACCATACCTTTGCCATAAAGTAGGTCCCTTGGTCTGAGATGATATTATGTGGAATTCCAGACACTCCAAGCCCTTGGACAGTAGTACTGGCTGAAGCACTGTGGGTAAGAAAAGCAAACCCTTACCCAGAACATGTTGCCCTCTTCAGGGAGGAAAGATGATTGGCTTCTTCAAGGTATGATTCCATACCCAGAGCTCAGGATTGGCTTCTGATGCTGCCACGTCAGACCTTTGGCAATGGGCAGTAGCTAGATGAACATTAGTGAGAGAGATCCCATGCTATTTTTTTTCTTGTAGACCACCTTGTTCCTGTTTGTTAGAGCTGCTTTTTTCCAGGTTTCTCTTACTCCTAAGATGCAGCCCTTATACCTATAGCAGACTTTACTCCTAGGAAGTAGTCCTTATTCCTAGGGCCTAGCTTTTACTCCTAGGTTATAGCCCTTACTCCCAAGGAGCTGCCCTTCTGGGTTTCAGCCGATAACCTGGGACATTGGGATATACCAATATACTTTGACAAGTCTTGAATTTCTATCTCCCTAGCATTATAAGATCTTGAAATCCTTGCTACCTCTTCAGTATGTGCTGATTTCTACCTGGTTTCTGGGAGTCTTACTCTGCTTGTGCACAGCTTAGGATTTGGTAATGCCTGGAGAGGAAACTGCATACAGAATTTTTGGCTAATACTCTGTTGTTCCCTCTACTCCTTTCTTAGGAGTCCCAGTCTTATTGGCAGCCCCAAATTCCAACTCTTCTTCCATTCCCTCTCTCCTTGTCTTTCTTTCCTTTTGGTTCTTCCTTCCTCTTTTGAACCCTCTCCAGTTAGGTTTTCATACCTACCATTTCACCGAAAGTTCTCTTGTCAAAGTCATTCATATTGCTAAATTCAGTGGCCAATTCTTAGTCTTTGTCCTGTTTGACCTACTAGCAGTATTTGACATAGTAGATCACAGCCGCTTGCTGTAAAATTATTACAGTCTCCTGGTTCTTCTCCCTTAAGAACACTTGTGTTATTACTCCATGGCTGACTTCTTCTCATTTCTCCAAGGTCTAAATGTTGTAATTCCCCAGACTTAGCCCTTGGATCTCTTCTCTACCCTTATTCCCTTGGTGATCTTATCCTGTTTCATGGCTTTAAAGACATTCTTTATGCAGACAACTCACAAATTTATATCTCCAGCCTAGATTTCTCCTCGAATTCCAATCTTATACACGTAACATCTTTACCTCTCTATTGGATATCTACTAGACATTTCAAATTTCATGTCCAAAACTAAACTTCTAATCTTCACCACTCCCTCAAACTTGGTCTTCCTGAGTCTTCTTCATCTCAACAAATGGCAGCTCCATCCTCTCAGTACTTCAAAGCAGAAACCTTAGAGTCATGTTTTATGTCTCACATTCCCTCACACCCCACATCTAATCTGTCATAGTATCTTGTTAAAGCTATATGCAAAATATACAGAGAACCACTTCTCATTACCTTTACCACCACCACTTGATTCACTCTACCCTCATCTCTAACTTGAATTATTGGAATAGTCATCTAACTGGCTTCCCTGCCAACTGCCACCATTTCCCTCTATAGTTTGATCTCAGCACAGATGTTAAAGTGATCATTTAAAAAAAAATTCCTTTACTGTGAACCATCCAACAAGCCTCCCATCTCATTTTTGAAAGTCCAAGCTCTTTCGTTGACCTAAAAATAGGGTAACAATATATTTTATCATCTAAACTAGGACACTTCTGAGAATGCAAAGTACAGTAAATATAAACTGAGACTGTCCCAGCAAACCAGCTGAGTGCTGTATGATCCCTCCTTCCCCCCACCTCGTTCTCACCCCGTTTTCAGCTACACTGGTTTGCTAGTTATTTCTTGAAAAGGCCACATATGCTTCCTGCCTCATGTCTTTTGTACTTGCTGATCCCCTGGGTGTCTGTGTGGTTTCTCCCTTACTTCCTTCAGGTCTTTGCTCAGATGTCATCCTCTCAGGAAGACCATCTCTAACCACCCTGTTATTTAAGATTTCAACCCCACTCTCTCCTTACACCACATATATTTTACTTGTCTATATATTACTTGTTTACTCTCACTAGAAGTCAGCACTGTGGGGGTATGGGCTAGGGGGGATTTTTGTTCCTCTTTTGTTCACTGCTGTATATCTGTTATCTAAAGTTGTGGTGTCACATTTAGGTATATAATAAATATTAGATGAGTGAGTGAATGCAAGTATAATTGATCACTGGGAATCCATTTATTCACCAAATACTTACTGAGTGCATCTTGGTTTATATTCTGTACCAAGTACAGTATTTAGCATTATTCTAAAGTCTAAAAATAGAAATACTTCCTATGCACTAGAAGATACTATAGTAAAATTTAGTGGAAGTTTATAACATATAAAGGTATGTAATTTTTGTTGAAGTCAATAAAAATTGTCCTTTAGGATTACAAACTAATTTATTTATAACTTAATTGGTATGTATTAAGTCTGTATGCTTCTTAAGGAATCACTGAGGTTTTGACATTCATTTCATTAACCTTATTTTTGGTACCTATTTTTATTCTTTACTTTTAGCAAACTATTGAGGATAAAAAGGGCATATCTGGATATAGTTACACCCAGGAAGAGCTAGAAAGGGTATCTGCATTGAAGACCGAAGTCGATGAAATGAAACGACGAACACTGGATGACATGTCTGAAATGGTGATTACACTTTTTTTTAAGTTTTGTCTTACTGTGCAGCTAGAACGCAGCTGTTCTCATGTTTGTTCTGTTTTCAGTGTAACATCCACATTTTCATTTCTGCATACTGTTTACTTTTACTCTTTCCTCTATCTATACATTCTAGTGAAGATGTTCAACTTGTAATAGTTTATGCATTCTGTGGTTTTGAAACTGTGTAAAAGTAAAGTAACATTGAGAGAGGATTAAAGATGGTGGCATGAGAGGTGAGACAGAAACCTCCTCCCAAAATCACATATAATATGAAAATATGGCAAATACATCAAATCCTGAAAGAGCAACAGGTAAGGAATAGACAAAGAGTACAGAATATGACACCTAATATATAAAGAATGGAGAAGGAAAACAAGGGAGGAAAAAAAAAAGAACATTTAGATTGTGTTTGCAATAGCATGTTAAGTGAGTTAAATAAGACTGTTAGATAGTAAGGAAGTTACCCATGAACCTTTGGTAAACATTAATCTAAAGCCTGCAATGGCAGTAAGTAAATACCTATCGATAATCACCCTAAATGTAAATGGGCTGAATGCACCAACCAAAAGACATAAAGTGGCAGAATGGATGAAAAAAGAAGACCCATCTATATGCTGCCCACAAGACACTCACCTCACTTCAAACCCAAAGACATACACAGTCTAAAAGTGAAGGAATAGAAAAACATATTTCATGCAAATAATAGGGAGAAAAAAGCAGGAGTTGCTGTACTTGTATCAGACAAAATAGACTTCAGAACAAAGAAATTAACAAGAGACAAAGAAGGACATTACATAATGATACAGGGGTCAGACCAACAGGACGTTATAACCATTATAAATATATATGCACCTAACACAGGAACACATACATATGTGAAACAAATATTAAACATATGTGAAACAGAATTAAAGGGGGAAACATATGTGAAACAGAATTAAAGGGGGAAATAGAATGCAATGCATTCATTTTAGGAGACCAACACACCACTCACTCCAAAGGACAGATCAACCAGACAGAAAATAAGTAAGGACACAGAGGCACTCAACAACACATTAAAACAGATGGACCTAACAGACATCTACAGAAAACTCCACACAAAAGCAGCAGGATACACATTTTTCTCAAGTGCACATGGAACATTTTCCAGAATAGATCACATACAAGGCCACAAAAAAAGCCTCAGTAAATTCAGAAAGATTGGAATTGTACCAACCAGCTTCTCAGATCACAAAAGTATAAAACTAGAAATAAATTGTGCAAAGAAAACAAAAAAGCCCACAAACACCTGGAGGCTTAACAACATGCTCCTAAATAATCAATGGATCAATGACCAAATAAAAACAGAAATCAAGCAATATATGGAGACAAATGATAACAATAACTCAACTCTGCAAAAAAATCTGTGGGACACAGTGAAGGCTGTGCTAAGAGAGAAGTATATTGTAATACAGGCCTACCTCAAGAAAGAAGAACAATCCCATATGAAAAGTCTAAACTCAAATTAACAAAACTAGAAAAAGAAGAATAAATGAAGCCCAAAGTCATTAGGAGGGACACAATAATAAAGATTAGATCAGAAATAAATGAAATCGAGAAGAATAAAACTAGAGAAAAAAATCAATGAAACCAGGAGCTGGTTCTTCAAGAAAATAAACAGAATAGATAAATCCATAGCCAGACTTACCAAGAAAAAAGTAGAGTCTACACACATACAGAGAATCAGAAATGAGAAAGAAAAAATCACTATGAACACTACAGAAATACAAAGAATTATGAGAGAATACTATGAAAAATTATATGGAACAAATTGGATAACCTAGAAGAATTAGACAACTTTCTACAAAAATACAACCTTCCAAGACTGACCCAGAAAGAAATAGAAAATATGAACAGACCAATTATCAGCAACAAAATTGAATTGGTAATCAAAGAACTACCTAAGAACAAAATGCCTAGACCAGATGGCTTCACTGCTAGATTTTATCAAACATTTAGTGAAGACCTAATACCCATCCTCCTTAAAGTTTTCCAAAAAGTAGAAGGGAGAGAACACTTCCAAACTCCTTCTATGAGGCCAGCATCACTCTAATACCAAAACCAGGCAAAGACATGACAAAAAAAGAAAATTACAGACCAATATCCATCATGAACATAGATGCAAAAATACTCAACAAAAAATTAGCCAACCAAATTAAAAAATACATCAAAAAGACCATCCATCTTGATCAAGTAGGATTTATTCCAGGGATGATACAATATTAGAAAATCCATCAACATCATCACCACATCAAGAAAAAGGACAAAAACCACATGATCATCTCCATAGATGATGAAAAAGCATTTGCACAAAATTCAACACCCATTCATGATAAAAACTCTCAACAAAATGGGTAGAGAGGGCAAGTACCTCAACATAATAAAGGCCATATGTGAAAAACCCACAGCCAACATTATACTTAACAGTGAGAAACTGAAAGCTTTTACGTTAAGATCAGGAACAAGACAAGGATGCCCACACTCTCCACTTTTATTCAACATAGTTCTGGAGGTCCTTGCCATGGCAATCAGACAATACAAAGAAATAAAAGGCATCCAGACTTGTAAAGAAGTTAAATTGTCACTCTTTGCAGATGACAGATATTGTACACAAAAAAAACCCTAAAGAATCCACTCCAAAACTACTAGATCTAATATCTGAATTCAGCAAAGTTGCAGGATACAAAATTAATACACAGAAATCTGTTGAATTCCTATATACTAATGATGAACTAGCAGAAAGAGAAATTAGGAAGACAATCCCATTCACAATTGCATCAAAAAGAATAAAATACCTAGGAATAAACCTAACAAAGGAAGTCAAAAACCTATACTCTGAAAACTACAAGACACTCATGAGAGAAATTAAAGAAGATACCAATAAATGGAAACACATCCTGTGCTCATGGATAGGAAAAATAAATATTGTCAAAATGGCCATCCTGCCTAAAGCTATCTACAGATTCAATGCAATCCTTATAAAAATACCAACAGCTTTCTTCAACGAACTAGAGCAAATAGTTCTAAAATTGATATGAACCACAAAAGACCCCGAATAGCCAAAGCAATCCTGAGAAGAAAGAATAAAGCTGGGGAGATTATGTTCCCCGACTTCAAGCTCTACTACAAAGCCACAGTAATCAAGACAATTTGGTAGTGGCACAAGAACAGACCCATAGATCAATGGAACAGAATAGAGAGTCCAGATATAAACCCACACATACATGGTCAATTAATATACGATAAAGGAGCCATGGATATACAATGGGGAAATAATAGCCTCTTCAACAACCAGTGTTGGCAAAACTGAACAGCTACATGTAAGAGAATGAAACTGGATTACTACCTAACTCCATATACAAAAGTAAACTCGAAATGGATAAAAGACCTGAAACCATAAAACTCTTAAAAGAAAACATAGACAGGAAGATGGCGGCGTGAGTAGTGCAGTGGAAATCTCCTCCCCAAAACATATATATTTATGAAAATACAATAAATACAACTATTCCTAAAAGAGACACCAGTGGATGCAGTACAACAGCCAGGATACATCTACATCTGCAAAAACTCAGCATCACACGAAGGGGGTAAGATACAAGCCGCTGCCAGGTGGGACCCGAACGTTCCCCCACCTCAAAACCTGGTGGGAAGAAAGGAGTCACAACAGGGAGGGAGTGAAAGCCCAGGACTGCTAAACAACCAGCTCTAGAAATCTGCATCCGAAACGCAGATACAAGGCGCACAGGGTGCTGGATATTAGAGAAATGGAAAAGCAAAACCTGTGGGCAGGTCCCCGTAACTGGCACCCCTGAGACAAAAGAAAAGTGAGTGCTTTCTGCAAGTCTTAAAGGGACAGGGACCCCATAGCTGGACAAAGTGGTCCTGGCAGCTGGGAATACCGGGGAAACTTAGGCACCCTAAACGGAGGCAGTGCAGCTCTGAAGCCCCTCAAAGCACTAAGCAGCCTGCCAGTCATTCCTCCAACTGGTGCAGACCCCGACACACGGGCCCAGTAGCAGGAGAGTGGCAGCACGCGCTGGGGACAGCAGGGTGGGAAGGAACCGAGAGCAGATCCGTGCACCAGAGGAGAGGCTTGTGCTAGCCCGCAGTGGTGCGATTGCACAGCCCAGGCGCGGCTCGCACACACTGGCAGCAGTGAAGCCAGAGCCCGGTAGAAGCCTGCGTGGAAGAGCTCCGCGCACACCTGCAGCAGAGCCAGAGGGAGCAGGCACACTCCCAGCAGCCAACCAGAATCCCAGCCCAATGCACAGCCGCCCAGGCCAGATCCAAAGGCTGCTGCTGGTACACAGCTGCCCGGCAGGGTCGCCGCTAGCGTGGAGGAGCACACCTGGCATGCCTGCCACTCCCCACAGGGCTCCGCGCTGCTCTGATGGACAGCCCGCCCACAGCAGCTTAGGGGACTAACCCGCTGGCTGCTCCAGGAGTGCAGATAACCATCACAGGCAGCGGAGAAGGGCAAGACATCCAACAACCAGGAAAGGACTTTCTTCTCCCAGTTGACAGACCCGCAACCTGCCTACAGCCACTGCTATCACCATGAAAAGGCAAAAAAATCTGGTCCAGTCCAAGATAGTTACACCTGAGAAAGGATCTGCAGAGGCAGACCTAACCAGTCTCCCTGAAAAAGAATTCAAAATAAAAATCATAAACATGCTGACAGAGGTACAGAGAAATATGCAAGAGCTAAGGGATGAAGTCCAGAGGGAGATTACAGACATCTGGAAGGAGATTACAGATGTCCCAAGAGAGATTACAGAAGTGAAACAAACTCTGGAAGGATTTGTAAGCAGAATGGATAAGATGCAAGAGGCCATTGATGGAATAGAAACTAGAGAACAGGAACGCATAGAAGCTGATGCAGAGAGAGATAAAAGGATCTCCAGGAATGAAACAATACTAAGAGAACTGTATGACCAATCCAAAGGAAC